TTAGGCAAGGGCTCTATCACTGAGCTAACACCTCTGGCCCTAGTGTTATGTATAATATATGGGTGTGTATATGTATATCTAAAATAATGTCTTAATTTTGTGCAAAACCTGGTATTGTATTTTTTTTGAAAGCTGGTTACAACCTATTAAATTGATTTTAGACTCACAGTTTTGAAAACTCTGAACTAATAAGGAAGTGATAAAGCAGAGTCTGTTCATGGTATTTACTTGTCTGTAACTTTCTTAGAAATCCCTCATTAAGAAAAGGAAAGTCACTTTAAGTTGTTTTTAGTCAATATTCAGAAAAAGAAGTTACTTAAATTACAGAGGAATTAGTAAAGGAGTCTGGATTATGGAGTCAAACAGAATAAGGCTGAAGTTTTAACTTTGACCTTGGGAAAGTTATTTGACTTCTCTTGGCCTCAGTTTCTTCCTCTATAAGCTACATTGTTAGAGGTGCAATAGTGGTGTGATTAAAAATGTAAACTCTTGAGCTGTATTTTCTGCATTCAAAACTCAGACTTTCGTCAGGCACTGATAGCTCACAGCAGTGTTAGCTGCTTGGGAGGATGAGATCTGGAGGATCCTAGTTCCAGGCCAGTATGGGAAAATAATCCAGGAAACCACATCTCAACCATTAGTTGGGTGCAGTGGTACATGCCTGTCATCCCAGTTAGGTGGGAGGCTGAGAACAGGAGTATGACTTTTCCAGACCAGCCCAGGCAAAAAAATTTGCAAGACCCCATCACAATGGAAACAAACTGGGCATGATGGTATGTGCCTATAAATAGGACGATTGTGGTCTAGGTCAGCCAGGGCAAAAAGTGAGATCATATATTGCAAATAACCAGAACAGAGGGGGAGATTGTGAGGGTGACTTTACCAATGTATAATGTAAGACTGTTTGGAAGATCACAATGCATCCCCGTGTACAAATAATATGTCCTAGTAAAATTATAAAAAACAAGAAAATAAATAGAATAACCAGAGCAAAAATATGGCAACTTAGACTTTGAGTAAGTCCTTAACCCCTGTGCCTTAATTTTTTTTATCAGTGAAAGGGGGAGGCTACCTCATAGTCTTGTTATGATGAGCAAATGAGTATCAGGATTAGCCTAATACATAAGAAGCACTGAATATGAATTCATTGTTACTATGTATGAGAGATGATGATACTTATGTTGCTTTGAGAACAGATTAAAATAATGAACACAAAGTCCCTACACAGTGATTAAACATATAGTAGGTATAATTATTTGTAAGGATTTTGCCTTTTCTTGTTTTGAATAGTTTGACATTTCTTATGACCACTTTATTATGTAATTCTGAATGGGCTAAGGTATTTTCATGTGAATCAGTCATGCCAGGGGTATCAGAAGTCTGACTACTCAATGTTTTTGTAAGCTTATTTTGGGCTGCTGTAATCTTTATTTCTTTTCATTGCCTTTTTCTTTGTTTTATTTCCTAAGTCATGCTTTACTTTTGTACTCATTAACTATATTCCCTATTTTTTTAAATAAAATTTCAACCATAGAGAATAGTTATCTCAGATCCTTAGTAAAGGACAGAGAAGTAATTTTGCTAAGGTTTCAGTTAGTAGCAGAGCTGATATTGGAATCCAGTTTTTGACTTGCAATATAAGCACTTTTTCCACAATGTCAAGATGTATCTTAGAAATAAATGGGTCAGATTTCTCTTTTGAACTCAGAGACTTGTGCTTACTAGGCAGCACTGTACCACTTGAGCCATATCTCCTGCCCTGAATTGGGCTTAATATTTACCTGTTTATTTATTGTTTTTTTGAGACAGAGTTTTATTATATAGTCCAGTACAGCCTTGAATTTGCTCCATAGCCCAGGCTGCCTCAAACTCGAGATCGTCCTGCCTCATTCTCCCAAGTGCTGGGATTATAGGCATACACCACCACACCTGGCTTAGTATTTACTCTTGAACTTACTCAGACATTCATATTTCCTGTCTTTAAAATTTATAGGAAGCTGGGCACCAGTGGTTCAAACCTGTAATCCTAGTTACTCAGGATGCAGAGATCAGGAGTATCATTGTTCGAAGCCAGCCAGGGCAAATATTTCTCAAGACCCTATCTGCAAAAACCCTTCACAAAGATAGGGCTGGTGGAGTGACTCAAGGTGTAGGCCCTGAGTTCAAGCCTCAGTATCACCAAAATAAATAAATAAATAAATAAATAAAATTTATAGGCTATGTTGAGATCATCCCACCTCACTATTTTGATTTCAGTGACATTTAGATTTGTTTCAGAAATCTCTGAGACTGAACTTAAAAATTATTTTAACTGTTTAAATTTACCCACTTGTAAAATTTTACAAATTTATAGCTATTTTTGAGATAATAAATATAGCAAACATTGAACATTAATGTTATGAAAAGCTAGCATATTGGTTTTATAGATTATTTAAAATTGTTTTTCATTTTTATTAATTTTATGTAATTCTTTAGCCAACTTCCCTGAATTCTCTGTGTTTTTTGGCTAGTTTTAATTTTTAACATTTTAACATAAATCTGTTCAAAATTATAAAAATTGCCTATTTTGTGAATAGTCAGATAATTTTTCTTTTTTTCTTCTTAAATAACTAGCCATTAATGAAGGAATAGATCAGGATATATAGAGCGTTGGCAAAACTCAAAGCTGTCATTGTTTTTAGTACCTTCAGTGGTAAAAAGTTCTTTAAAAGTAGTCACAACATGTTGAAATATAAATGCATGGTAGATTTTGGTTTTCCCTAGTCAACAGTTTACTCTATGGGAAAATAGCTATAATCCTGCTGAAATTCAGTGGTATACCAGAAGGCCATGGAGGGGCATTTTGACAGCGGACTCCTGCTCTGTACCGGAAAAGGTCTGCAGTTGATGATGGACAGGGCTGGAAATTCTAAGAAGCACCAACCTTGGAAGAGGCAGTGTGTCTCAGAATGTGAGGCATATTCTACGTCTGCAAATTATTTGGACAGATATCCTAAAATCAGAGCATTATTTAGGTCAGTGATAGCATTCTCTAGGTACTTGTGACCTTTTCTTCTATAACTCATACACTAAAGTTAACCAACATTTGGCAGCTATAAAATAGGAGTACAAGATCTGATTTTTTTTGATTTGTTGAGTTATGTGAAGAGTCTTTTAAAGGCACATAAATACAGTCAATCATGTCTAGTTGTACATTTAAATTTTTCTTAAAAATAAAATTTAGAAGTGTTTTGGAAATTTAAGAATATATAGTTGCCAGATCTACATCTAGCCTGTTATACATATATATATATATAAACACATACATACTTATATATATGTATTTTTCTCTCCCTTTACTTATTTTCTGACACACATCCAACCTGTCTTCTACTTATAACTTACTGTAGTAACCTCTTGATCAGTCACTCTCAGAATAGTTCTCATCCCTTCAAACACAATCTTTAGCCTTTGTCATTAAGAGCACTAAATCATCCCTTTTGCCATATAGTCTTGCTTCATAATGTTCAGTTTACTCTGCTTCTCTCAAAAAAAAAACTCTCTTTCTGTCTAAAGAGGAAGGAAATTAGTACCACACTCTAATTTTCTAACTCCCCACCCCACGATCATCTCTCTTCTTTTAAAGCTGTTTCCTCACAATTATAAGAAACAGTGCCCTGGTCTTCCTCTCCCTTCCTTTCTCTGACCTATTTTTATAACAGAACAGCTGAAAACCTAGTACTTAATTCTCTGGTGCATAAAGGATGAGATTAATCTGAGACTTCTATAATTTTGTCTTTATATATTTTTATCTCTGTCTATGTGTCTGCTTAACTAATCTATTTATCTGTCTCAGTTCTTGCTAGCTCTATAGCACACTCTATAATAATGTATACTGAGTGAGTAATCAAGGAATAACAGCTACTGAGTTTGTGAAGAATCCTTGAAACCAAGATGGATATTTGATTGTGTGGGTATAGTTTTTAAAAGCTGGAAAACATTCTGAGTGAGTGAGGGCATTTATTTTCTATGCAGTAGAATTTTAGGATAAGTCATGAGAGACAGATATCTTGTGATCATTTGTTCTAAAGTACAAAAGAATATGCTCTTGGTATCAAGTTTGATCTTCATTTAAGACACTGGAATTGGTCTGAAAGTTGGAAAATTATCCCTTTAATTTCCACCAGTGCCCAAATAAGTATATTTTTGGGAAAAGGAAGTATGGGGAGGAAGGGATGGGACAATGGAATATATGTAAAAGGTATCTGATTATTAGTATCTAAAGAGAGAGAAGAAAAATAACCAGTAATTATGAATGTAGAGTCCTAGACAAGTCTAGTTTGAACAGCTTTCTCAACTAATGCCGTAATTTAACTGATGAGTGACAGAGTGGTGGCATTCAACTTGTAGTTTTATTTGGCCATACCTTCTACATTCTTTCTCTTGAGGAAATGCCCAGACGTGTAGATTCGAGTGACAGCAAGGCAGTTAAATAATCTGGGATATGAATGTGGTTTTGTTTTATACCCCAGAAGCTATAAAATAAGTGAAGAAAATTCCAGATTCTTTATTTCCCTCTAAGGAAAATGGAATAGTTTCTTTATATTTTTTCCTTTAGTATAAATCTTAATTAAAAATTTTAATTTATTGATTATTTAATTTCCTTTATCTTCATCAAGAATTTAGAAGCTTTTTATAACTGTAAAAAAAAGGTTGCATTTCTCTTGAGCTACTGCCAATAGCTTACAATGATGCCAAACTTTATGTGTGGGAAAGGTGATTTCAGTGAGGGCAGTTTAGCTGAAGTTTAGTCTAAGAAACTAGTGTTTTGCTGCCAAGCAATTATTTGCATTTCTAAAAAATGACTTACACTTTTTACCAATGCTTTCTTTCACCATAGACTAGTTACTTAAATAAGTTTTTGTCACGAGAGGTATATGTCCTGTAAAGAAACTTGTGTAGCCTCAACCTTTTAAAAAATAGGTGATGTAGGTATTTCTATTAAATATTGCTTGTTGTTTAAAATCCATAGGAATTGAATCAAGAATTAGCAAAAAGAAAAGAAATGGAAGAACGTGAAAAAAGGAAGATAATTGCTGAGGAAAAACACAAGGAATGGGTTCAGAAAAAGAATAAACAGGTAAAGAGAGTGAAAAATGCACGCCCACACTGACATCTCTTTTGCAAAGTCTTTTTTCCCATCCCTCATTACCTGCACTTTTCTTACATTTCTCTTAGATTCTTCTCTGGCTTTTTTTTTCTCCCTTGCCCTCATGGATATTTATGAAGTCTCTGTCTTCTGCTCTGTGCCCTCTACTTTTTTTCTTTTTATTCCTGTGGTTTCTACTAATTATCTTTCAGAAGTCACTAAGTCTGTATCTCTAGACCTGAACTTTTGAAGTGTTGAATTTCCATCTAAAGACTCCAAACTTGCACATCTAAAACAAACTAACTTTGCCCATTCTCCCTTCATGGACACTTTCTGCTAGCTCCTTTATTTTTGCTTAATAGTTCTACTGTCTCCTCAGTTCCCTAGGCATAATTCAAATTCTTATGTAGTACCAAACACCTCCCTTTCTTTGTAATTGCTATTCCCTCTGTTTGTGATCACTTCTGTATAGTCTCATTTAATCTTTCAACTTTATTAATAGTTTCCTTCCCCACACTGGCATATAAACTCTATAAGGTCAGGAATTTTGCCTCTTTTTGTCAGTTCTTCAGCAATTTGATCAGTACCACACATGAGAGATTACCCAGAAATACTGAATAAGTCCATCCTCCATGTCTCTGCCAGATTAATCTTGTTGAAGTAGTCTGAGTTATCATTCCCTCTTTCAAAAAAATATTTCTCATGGCTCCCCGCTGTCTTTTTTAATTTTTTGAAGGTACTGGGGCTTGAACTTAGGCCTCATGCTTACTAGACAAGTGCTCTACTACTTGAGCTACTCCGCCAGCCCTCCTGATTGTTTTCTGAATGAGATTTTCACAATGCTAGCCTTGTTGGCTAAAGACCCTCTACTCTATTCTCTGAGCCAGACTACCATTTCAACATATCTCTCGCCTGTGGTGCCCTTAATTCTATGCTGTTGCTTCTTACTGGGCTTTTTTGGGGAGCACACACAAAATAATAATTGCCTGTCTTCATGGAGTATTAGTTTTACTGGAAATTTTTCAGAAAAAAAAGTGTTATATTTTTATATTAAATCAAGTAGAGAGATATGTAATGGAATAAAACATAAATTTTATTTTATTTTTTGTGTTGCTGGGAGGATCAAACTTAGGGCTAGGCAAGTACTCCACAACCTACTCCCTCAGCCCTAAATTTTATCCTATTTTAAAGATACAAATAGATTTCCTAAGAAGAAGAGGGCCAGTGGGAGGAGGGAAACAGGAGAAGATAACAGGTATGGTGTGTGTCAATATGATCATAATACGTTATATACATGTATGAAAATGTCAAGGTGAAACCCATTAAAATGTATACAAAAATAAAGGATCAAAACTTAATATGCCCCCCCAAAAAACTGACCACCTCTCAAAAAGCCCAAATAGATTTCCTAGAAATCTAGAGCTTCGTGCTATGCTTCACAGCCCACAGGAATGTGTATTCCTAGCTCTTTTGAAAATGTGTACCTTCATACTGCTTATTTCCTTATTTTATTTTCAGTGGGACTAAGGTTTGATCTTAGGGCTTCATGTTTGCAAAGCAGGCACTATACCTCCAGTCCATTTTGCCCTGATTATTTCGGAGATGGGAGTCTCACATGCTTTTTTCTTGGGCTGGCCTTGAACCGCAGTTCTCCCTATCTCAGTCTCCTAAATAGCTAGGATTAAAGGTGTGAGCCACTGGCACCCAGTTCATTTTCTTTGTTTTTATATACGGCATTTCATCAAGATGGAATCTCCTTGTATCCTCTACTGTAATGTTCCCTGTACCATGCAACTCAAATTACTTCCTGCATGAAGTGTTACCTGTTCAATTGTTAGAGGCTCTTTAATGTGAATCTTTACTCCATGTATATCGCTATGATCGCACTTTACTGTACATACTGCTGTATACATGAGCATGTTTTGAAAAACATCCAGCTGCTTTGTATTGTGTGTATGCCTTCACTTCCCTTGTAACTTTAACATCCTTAAGAGTAGAAATTATTTTTGTACATTATTTATTGCAAGATTTAGCAAAATACTTTGTATATAATAAGCATTTGTTGAATGAATGAGTGATTTTCCTGGTTTTTTCTTTCTTTCCTTTTTTCAGGGTTGAGGAATGTACTCAGGGCATCATGCATGCTAGACAAATGCTCTATCACTGAGTGATATCCCCAGCCCTCCTTTCAATTTTTTAATTTATTTAATTTATTTATTTAAAATTTTTCATTAGAATCTGATTTTCTTTTATGAATTTAAACAAATGTTAAATTGTAGGACAATGTTTTAAATTTTTAATTGTAATTATTTTTGTCCTTACCTTTTGTTGAATCTAATACCTATTTATATTAATAAGAATACCAAGTAAATAATTTCAGTAAGATGAAGATAGCATGACCTTCTTCATTCAGGTATTATAAGAAGATAGTAAGCTAGGGGTGTGTGTGTGTGAGCATGTGTGTGTGCTCTGTGTTATAACTATTAAAGTATTTCTTCCTTACTTTAGAAGTCAATTATTCTGCTTTTCTTTGTTTGTTTGCTTCAGCCCATAATATAACAAGAAAGAGTTCTTTGTGAATAAATGCCAGTCTCAAAATCTATGTAAGCATTACAAAACTTTGGGTTATACCTTTTTGAAGTTTATAACCATAAATCAAAATAGCACTACATGTGCAGAGTAGTATGCTCTCTCTTCTAAAAGCCTCTTTTATCTTCTAACTCCATTAAGCTAATTTTGCCATGCCAATCACACATAGTTGTTGTTTGCCTAAGAGTGTAAAATACTGCTGAAAGATCGATGATCTATTTGCTGTTTTAATTAATGGCAGTAGATCTAATCCTATTATTCAAGAGGAAAAATATTCTTTCTTTTGGAGCTAAGTGGCTTACCCGACATAAATCATTAACTATTGAAGTCAGGATTTTAGAAGGTTGGGAATGGATTAAAAAAAATGAATCCTAAAAAATTCAATTTACCTATTTTGAAGCACTCCTGTGCCTGTTAAGGAATAATTAATGACTCTGTTTTCCTTTGTTGTTTTTTTTTTTTTCTTTAAAACTATCAGATTTCTTATTTCAGACTTCCTTACATTTACCTCTATTTGGAAAGACTGCACTCCTGGTTCTTCTCTTCCTGTCTGGCCTCTAGCTTTTTTCTCCTCTGTTTACATTTCATGGTGTGTGGTCCTGTGCTGCCTCCAGCTTCATTCACATTTTAGCATTATCGGTGACTGGTATTTTCTCTGTCATTTTCACTGTGTTCTATCAAAAAAATCAGACAAAAAGAATTTATGTATCCATTAGCAAAGCTAGTTTCTTATGACTGTAAATTGTTAAATCCTTTTGAAATAAATGGCTTATCTAATCTGGTACTTTTTTATTTGCATTGCCATACTAACTTACTTTCTAGATTTTTTTATAGCATTGACATATATTTTGCAAAAAGGATTTTTATTCTCAGTGTTTTAAAGTTATTTAAAAATAAAATTGGTTTTACATCTCAAAAAACAACTGATATTTTTACATAAAATACTAATGCAGATCAACAAGGTATCTGATTGGTAACACTATTATCAGTGTATCATTCAAGCTTTCAACAAATGTTCACTCAGCTTTTTCTACGCATCAGTCAGGCACTATTAGAGGAACTAAAATAGAAAGTCAGAAACTTCTAAGTACCTAATTGTTGTTCATTTTCTTTAGCTGTAAGACAAAGATTCTCCCAGGCACCATCTTTAAAAAAGATTTATTCTTGTGCTCTGTGTGGTATAGAACCAATATGCTAGGAAATTTGAAGCCACTTAGTGGTTGATTACTTTCTCTTGGTAGCAGTGACATGAGTGCCTACCCTGTTCTCCTTTTGTTAACTAAAGACATTCTGTTCCCTTTCCCTTCAATTCTATAGAAAGCCTGTCTGATGCTTTTAATGAATTTATTTATTAGCTCTAAACTCATTTTTATTAACACATATTGTACAAAATGCCAGGTTTCATTGTGACATTTTCATACATGCATATAATGTACTTTGATCACATTTAGCCAGTTACCCTATCTTGCCCTGCATTCTGTCTGATATATATCTATTTTAACTTAATGAGTTTTGAAAAACTTTATGTACCTATGTAACTAACCAACATCACAGTCAACATATAGAACATTTTCATCACCCCATAAAGTTCCCTTTGTACCACTTTGCTTTCAACCCAACTCCCTGCCACTAGCCAACCCCAGTTCCAAGGAAACTAGTAATCTTATGTAGATTAGATTTGCTTTTTCTAGAATTTCATACAAATGAAATGATTGAGTGTATACTATTAGTCTTTGGTTTTAAACTTATGATATTTCACATGTTACTGATTCCTTTTTATTGGTGAGTGGTATCCTTTAGAAAAGCACAAATTGTTTATTCATGCATTAGCTGGTAGACAGTTGAGTTAAACAACTCATTTTGGGGGTATTATGAATAAAATCTAAGACCACTCCTATATAAGTGGATATTTATTTTTATATATCTTGGGCAGATACCTAGAAGCTGAACTGCTGGTAAGTGTATGTTTAACTTTATGAGACATTACCAAACGGTTTTTTACAATGCTTGTACTGTTTTACATTCTAACTATTATTGTATGAAAGTTCTAATGGTCTACATTTTTTCCAGACTTGATATTGTTGATCTTCTCCCTGTAGTGAGTGTGTAGTGTGATGCCATTGTTTTTCATTTCCCTCAGGTCTAGTGATGTTTAGCAATTTTTCTTAAGCTAACTGTATTAGTCCTTCAGGGCTGCCCACAAAGTGAGTGGTTTAAACAATAGAAATTTACTTACTCACAGATCTGGAAACTGGAAATCAAGACGAAAGTGTATGCAGGTTTGGATTATCCTTACTCCTCTCTCTGTGGCTTGCACATGACTTTGTTTCTGTCTCCTCACATGTTTTTGTCTCAGTACTCATACCTGCCTGGTGTCTTTTTCTATGAGGATTAAGGTTCCACCTCATTTAAATTTAATTACTTCTTGTAAGGTTCTGTCTCCAAATATAGTCACACTGGGTTATCACTTCAACATAAGAATGGGGGCAGGACAACTTAACAATTCAGTCTGACTGTTTCTGTCACTTTCTCTCTCTCTTCTTTTTTTTTTTTTGGTCAGCTTTTCTGGTTTTCTTTTGTGTTAGTTTAAGTCTTATGTCAAAAGTAGTATGTGACTTTTTATTAAGATCCCAGGCTAGGGGGATAGCTCAGTGACAGAGCACATGCTTAGCATGCATGAGGCCTGGGGCTTAATCCCCAGCACCTACTTCCTTCCCCTAAAGGTGTAAGAATTATTCTTATATTTTTTTGAGACAGAGTCTGGATATATTGCCCAAGGTGGCCTTGAACTCCTGGGCTCAAGAGATCCTGTTATCTTGACCTCCTGAGTAGTTGGGACTATGGGTACATGTGCCACCATGGTTGGCTCTAAATTAATTCATGTGTTTCTTTTCACATTTTTGAAATTATTATTTGTGGCTGTGCTGGGGACTGAACCCATACCTGCTAGGCAAGTGCTCTCCACATCCCCTAAAATTCTTTATACATTCTGACCGTAAGTCCCTTGTCAGATGTATTTGTTGCAAACATTTCCTCCTGTTTAATTTTTCTCAATGGTGATTTTTAAGGTACAAGTTTTAAATTTTGATGGCATTCCATAGTTCAGTTTTTTTCTTTTATAGTTCTGTTTGTTTGTTTTGGTGGTACTAGGGATTGAACTCAGGTCCTCATGTTTGCTAAGCAAGCTCTCTACCACTTGAGCCATGTTCCCAGCCTTAGTTTACTGTTTTTGTATCTTTATTTAAGAAACATTTGCCCATCCCTAGAGTTTAAATATTCTCAGTGGTTTTTTTCTAGAAGTTTAATAACTTTAGCCTTACCTATATGTGTATTTTGAGTTAATTTTAATTTATGGTATGAGTTAGGGGTTATGGTTCATTTATTTGCGTATGGATATCCAGTTGTTCCACACTCACTATTGAAAAAAGAATCCTTTTGCTATTAAATTACCTTGGCATACTGTTTAAAATCAATTAACCCTGTATGTTCAGATTGTACTCTCTTCCATTGATTTATATCCTGTGCCAGTACTAAGTTAGTACTAAGTTAGTACTAAGTGTGTTAGTAGAACTTTATAATTCTTGAATTTATAGTTCCTAGATGATGTGAATCAACCAACTTCTTTTGTTTTGTTTTTCAGTACTGAACTTGGAGCCTTAGGCTTGCTAGGTAGGCGCCCTACCACTTGAGCCACTCCACCAGCTGGCCAACGTTTTTCTTCTTTTACAAACTTAGTTACTCTGCTTCTTTCCATATAAAATTTAGAATCCACTTATCAACTTTGCTACTAATGTCTTTCTAATAGTGCCTGGCACTGTTGGGATTATATTAAATGCATATATCATTTGGGCTTTTCTCTCCATTTATATTTGTCTTTTTCATTTCTCTCAGCTTAGTTTTTAATGTATTAAGGCATTATATATCTTTGTTAAATGTATTCTTAAGTAATCAGGGTTTTGATTATGAGAGTGGTTGTCTTATCTTGTCCCTGTAGTTTTCATGCCTGTTTTTGGTGTCAGAATAATGCTTGGTTCTTAAAATGAACTTGGTATGTTCCTTTTCCCTCTGTTTTCCAAAATAATTTCTGCAGTTATTTGGTATTGTTTCCTCTTTAAATGTGAGTATATCAGTGAAGCTACCAGAAGCTGAAGTTTTTTGTGAGAAATTTTTAAATTTTTAAATCATTTTTGCAAATAGTAGATGGTAATTCAGACAGTATTTCACTTGAATTCGTTTTGGAAATTGGGATATTTTAAGGAGTTTAATATGGCCTCATGTCTGTATGCTCTGTGGTCATATATCACTGTGTGACCTTAAGCAAATTACTTACTCTAGTTGTGCTTTCCTTGCTTCCTTTGTAAAAAGGATGGTAATAATTTCTACCTAATATTGTGGTTATAAGAATTAGTCCACAGTCCATACATACAGGCATAGTTATCATCTGGTGTTAGCTACTGCAATTGAAAACATTGTGGGGACTGGGTGATTGTTGATGAGGTTGTAGAAGGAGTCATGAGTCACACAGATTGAGCAAGACGTGCTTCAACATCCTTTTCAGACTAGATCAGGCATGTTCAGGGTAGTGTGGCTGACACTCCAAGGTCCTTTTCAATTTGTGGATTTTCTGTCAGTGTGAAGTAAGTAAAGTCCAGTATTGTTTCAGTGGCTATTGAGTTGTCAGCATGAAAAGGTTCCATCTCACAGCTCTTGGCCGCCCAGCAAGAAAGAAATAGAACAGCTTTAGGAATGACTTGGGCTTTGACTTTTAAGACCTGCTTTTCCTACACAGCATTGAACTTACATTTTATGTAACTGATATGTGCTAGTTCAGTAGTAAGTTATGTGAAATGGTTGTGAGATACTTTCATATTTAGCTCATTTCTTTGCTTCATAAAGGGTGATACATAAGGCATTTGTTTTGCATATTCCTTTTATACCTTGAATTTTAATTTCTAGATGTTCTTTAATTCTAAAGAGAATTAACTGTCATAATTTACTTAGAATTTAGCTGCTGTTAGTAGGTTATTATTTGAATAAGATGAAAAAAACTGAGTTACAGTTTTTGTCAAGGATCAATAATTTTTTTTCTGTAGAAGTCCAAATGGTGCCAGGCATGGTGGTGCCAGGCATGGTAGTGCCTGTCTATAATCTCAGCACCCAAGAAGTTGAGGTAAAAGGATTGTAAGTTCAAAGCCAGACTGAGCTACATATCAAGTTCAAGATCAGCCTGGCCAATAGCAAGACCCTGTCTCTGAGAAAAACAAAAAGACAAAAAATTCCAGATAGTAAATATTTTATGCTTTTCTGGCTGTACGGCCTCTAAGGCAACTATTCAACTTTGCTATTGTGACATAAAACAGCCACAAACAATAAATATGTAAACAAATGAGTGTGGCCATATTGCTACATAATTTTATTTGCAAATAGTGGTGGCTGGTGGACCAGATTTGACCTTTAGGTCTCTATTTGTGAACTTCTGATCTAGTCAGAATTGTATAGTCAAAGATTCACCTGGTTTTGCCCTTACATACAGTATTTAATAGGCATTATTCATTGTCCTCTGGAATTCACCGCTGGTGACCATTTATCAAGTGTATTTATTGACAGTCTGGGAAGTGTGTGTATGTGGTTCAGATTTAGAGTAAGAGTAAATTCATTAAAAGTTGTAAGATTTAGGACAGTCTAGGAGTTTGTAATTTTTGCTCATTACTTTATCCAGCAGTTCCCTATTGAGCACCTACTACTTGCTTAGCACTCGCCTAGACACTGAGTATTCTTTGGTGACCAGGATCTCTATTGCTGCCTTTAGGAACTCACATCCCAGCAGGTACTGACATTGAAGAGGTAATTGCAGGTATGCTACATGTTTTCATAAAGCATGTTGTGCCAATCACTATGCTGCTACCCAAATCAGGAAATAATTGAAGTTGAAGATGTGGTTCCAGGGGTAGAGTGCCTGCCTGGCAAGCGCAAGCCCTGAGCTCAAATCCCAGTACCACAAAAAAAAAAAAAAAAAAAGAAAAAGAAATAATTAAAGTTTAATCTTATCTGATCGTCGAAGCTCAGCAGGGTGAGACCTGGTTAGTATTTTGATGGGAGACCCCCTGGGAACATGGAGTGCTGTAGGCTTTAAAAAATAAAAAGAAAGAATTGAAGTTCAGAGAATTTTGTATATAGCAATCCTTGTCTGAGGATAATTACAGGTATTTTGATAAAAATTCCTTTATTTTTATTTAAGCAAAGGAAAGAAAGAGAACAAAAAATTAGTAAAGAAATTGAGGAAAAAGCAGCAAAGGAACAGGAGAAAGAATATCTGCAAGAAAAAGCAAAAGAAAAATATCAAGAGTGGTTAAAGAAAAAAAATGCTGAAGAATGTGAGAAGAAGAAGAAAGAAAAGGTATTTTTATTAAAATGACCAGTTAGAATGCATGACTTTGCTGTTTATATGTGCCAAATGTATGTGAAACAGTATATAATTAGAAAATTAGCACTATCTTAGCGTAAAACAAATAGATGAAGCTGTCCTTATTTCTATTATCCTGTGTTTAAAATTCATAATGAATGTGCATTTTTGGTTTTCTTAGATTGAGAAATATTAATAAGCCTGTTGATGTTTTTTAGTCAGATTCAGATGTTTGCAGTTACTACTTTTAAATACTTTCAGTGCTCTTTTATGTGGTTATATTATTGTATTATAAATTATAATACAGCATATTGCTTTTTCCTTCTTGAGTTTGATGCCTATTGTTATTAAGTGGTAGACACCTTAATATTCACATTCCTGGCTGTTTTCAGTTTTGCTGTCAAATTATAGAAATAAATTTAGTATTATCCCCAGAAAGTCATTGTGGGTAGGAAGCAACTGGGAGTGGGGGGACAGTGGGATTTGAGTAGGATGTTTAGTTACAGAATCCCTGAAATTTTTTTGGTCTTGCCACTTTAAGGAAAAAGAAAAACAACGGCAAGCTGAATTACAGGAGAAAAAGGAAATAGCAGAAAAAAAGTTTAAGGAATGGTTGGAAAATGCAAGAAATAAACCTCGTCCAGCTGCAAAGAGCTATGGTTATGCCAATGGAAAACTTACAGGTTGGTTTTTATGTTATGTGGCTTCATAAGTATGGTTTGCAGAAGCAAATGTCATAGATTTTGTTTCTTTTTGCCAAACATAGAAATGTGTAAAAAATATTTTTCTTTTAAATTACTATTTTCCAGAGGATTATATTATGATATACTGTGTTGCTAAGGAGATATTATAAATTCATTGTCATTGTCCATAAATTATTTATTTCTTAAAGGCAATAGCTGCAAAACTAAAAACTTAGACTTTAAAGCAATGACTTGAAGACTGGGGATCTTGTGCCATGGTAGGGTGCTTGCCTAGCATGCACAAGCCCTGGATTTGATTCCCACCACTGCAGAAAACAAAACATAAAAACTTAAGGCAAGGGTATTATGGAATTCTAGGGGCTGGGAATGTAGCTCAGTGGAGGAGCATGGGTTTAGCATGTACAAGGCCCTAGGCTTAATCCAGATTCTCTCCCCACCCCCTGCCAAATGTGCTTACATTTCTTAGATGATACTGCCTTAATTAGGACATGCTTAAGGGGTCATTTTTGCCTCCCCACTTTCTCCCATCCAAGTACTAACCAGGCCTAACCATGCTTAGCTTCTGCGATCAAACAAGACCGACATGTTCAGGGTGGTATGGCCGTAGACTGCCTCCCTTCCTTCTAACCTTCTCTAAGGCAGACCTTCTAGTGTCTTTGACACATTCTTTTGCGGGGTGGAATACTAGACAGCACATGACCAAACACAAAACCAGTTGACCTTTAGGCTTGGTCTGATTATAAATGGCAATGCATGTTTTTCTTTTTGCTTCATGTTGGAAGCTCATACCTTGCTGACAGCTGCCTTCACTGGTTTAAGTGATTTATTATTAAAAACGCTCCCATTCTGTTTTGTTCACACACTAGAACATATTCCAGACTTTGTTTTGACCAGCTTGGTGAAGTGTGTGTTGACACATCTATGCAGCCAAAGTGGGCTGCCAGTGTCTGAAAGACACATTCCTGCTGTCAGGATTAGTCCTCTCTTGTATGTCACAGAGGTCATCCATCACAGCTACTGAGCATAGCATGTTCCTGTGGTGTTTTGTTTCGTTTTAATTTCTTATTTGGGAAAAGGTTAATATTAGTAATTACCAGTAGTTTTAACCTAATGATTAGGTAGTAAGACTAAAACTTCAGGTGAGAATATGCATATTAACTAGATGCTAACTACTAAAATAATGGATGGTTTATTAATTTTTTCTACATTTTTAATGTTTCTTATCAGCAGAATATTTATATACAAATACTATATTTCCCATCTTTATTCTTTATGCTAATATGATTTTTACAAATTATGAAATAAAGGAATTGATGTGCCTATAATGAGTGAAGAATTTGGAGATGATTTACATGTTTCTCCTTCACACCATTATTAGTTGTTGAGCATCACAAATCTTTAAACACATGCATCAGAAGAATGCTCTATAACCAGTAACCAAAATTACAGTGATATTACAGAATCTTACTAAGTTGTGAGATAATTCAAAATTTCAGTGGTTCTAAATAGGAACCTTGATTCATTTTAGTTCCATATGCAAGATAAATTATTCTGTAAAGTGACAAGAAGAAACTAGTACAAAATCAGCCATTTCCGAGACTGAACTAAGAAAATGAAGGTTTTATTTAATTCAAGGGGTCTAAAATTATTGCTTAGTGAAACTTTTGCAAGCATTTTTATTTATATTGATTTCAACATTTTGATTCTCAAAATTGTTTATCTTTTAATATTTGTTAACAATGTTTACTATATTTGAAAAGTGTTAAAGCTTCGAAAATATTCAAGATTTTAAGTTTTAAATTAGTCAGTTTGGATTACCAATGATAGTTTGCCTTTTTGACATTTTAACATTTTTCTAGGAATTTTAAAATAAGCTATTTCTTTGAACTCAAAAAGTTTTATTTTCTTGTTTCGTTCAATGATTCTAGGTTTTTACAGTGGAAATTCCTATCCAGAACCAGCCTTTTATAATCCAATTCCATGGAAACCAATTCATATGCCCCCTCCCAAAGAAGCTAAGGATCTACCAGGAACAAAGAATAAAAGGCCTGTGACAAGTCAGCCACACAAGCCACCATCTCTGGTAATTCATAAAGCCAGAAGCAACCTTTGCCTTGGAACTCTGTGCAGAATACAAAGATAGTAGATGTGGTAAATAGCATGCTTTTAATTTTTTTAGCTATTTAATTTTAAAATCAGAATTTTTTTACTACTCAATTAGTAAGTCAGCATTTCTTGTGATTAATGATAAGTACCAGTTTTTGCATTTGTGTGTGGAATACTTAAGAGTTCATGAGGAAAATGTTTTCTGTATTTTGATTTTAATAAACCTCCTTAAGTTGATCTTGTTTTGCAGAATAAGTGACTGGATATCTAATAATTGTGTTTGTGTTTAGTTTTTATTAAAATTATACTATAATACCAATAAAATCAAGTTTCTCTTGTGTTCTTTTATACTCTGTTATTTGCTTATGTTTGTTTATGTCTGTGAACATAATAAGATTAAGATTAATTTGTTCAAAATAAGCATTTCTAAACTATATGCTTATCTAAATGAGTCAGAAACCAAGAGTAATCAAAAACAGTCTTTGTTGATGGCTTTTGGTATATTTTTCTATCTAGATATTTTTACAATAACTCACTGAAAGCCCACTGTACAACACAGAAGTAAGGGTTGGAATTTTCATGGGGAAATATAAAAATACTGTTTTGTGCTCTGGATCTTAGGTTGGCCATGTTGTAATCTTGACACACTAATAACATTTTGCTAAGCTTTATAAAAATTATACAGTAATTATAACTTGATTGTTAGCCTTGAAATTATCAGTATGTTATTTTACATATTGAAACTATTAAATGTTAAGTTATATTTTACTGAGGTTGAAATCACAGATCTTATTAATAAATACATTTTAAGATTACTAAAATAGCTACTAGCACTTAGTACTTTAAAAATTTTTTAAATATGTCTTTTTAAGGGAAAGTCTTTTTAAAAAAAGCATTTAATATTTAAACCCCTTTGAACATTGACTTAAATATTAATAATGAAAGGATTCTTAAATAGGTACAGTGTGTTGGGGGGTACTTGGGGGAGGAGGAGGGTGAATAAGGAGATTAAGATGAGGGTATATGATTGATAGACTTTATATACTTATATGGAATAGAACAAAGAAACCTCTTACAATTGCTGTAAGTGGGATGGGAAGTAGGTTGAGGGGTTGAGACAGTGGGGATGATCTAACCAATACATAATATAAGCGTACTTAGAACTGTCACAATGAATCCCTCTGTACAACAAATACACCCTACTAAAAAATTTTTATTAGCATATATTAGTTGCACAGGGTATTTCATTGTGCCATTTCCATATATGCTTGCAATGTGCCTTAGTTAGGTTCATCCACACCATCATTCTCTTTCATTCCCCTTCCTGCTACTTAAAATGATTTCAACAGGTTTCATTGTTCTATTTGCATATAAGTATATAAAGTACATCGACCAAATTCACCCTCCTTTAACTTCTCCATTCACCCTCCCCCTCATACTAGCATCCATTCCCTAACAGAACCTGTTTTACATTCCTGTCCTTTATTTTTAAGTGTCTGTTCATTGTTCAAATGAGGTTTTACCATTTTATTTCACCTATGAATATATTGTACTTTAATTAGTCTAGTCCCTTCTATTATTCTCCCTACCTCCTCCCACCCGCATTACTCAACAGCTTTCAGTGCATTTAGTTATGCCTTCTTCCTAAACTGATGCAATGTATTTAAATATTATTCACTTTCTATCTCATTTCCCCTCAAGCAGTCCCACTATTGCAAATACATATATGGCAAATGTATATATACACATATGTATGTATATGTGATCATGTTTGTATTTGTCTACTTATTTATCTTTTGGATCTATCAACCACATATGAAAGAAAACATACAACTTTTGTGTTTCTGAACCTGACTTACTTCACTTAACATAATGATCTCTACTTCCATCCATTTACCTGCAAACAACATAATTTCATTCCTCTTTATGGCTCAATGATACAACAATGTGATATATATATCACATTTATATATATATATCACATTTTCTTTATCCATTCATCAGTTATAGGGCATCTGGGCTGTTTCCATGGTTTGGCTGTTGTGAATAGTGCTTCAGTAAACATGGGTGTGCAAGTATACTTACTGTATCCTGACTTAACATTCTTTTGGAGGTATCACTGGTTGATATGTTAATTTGTTTTTTAAGTTTTTGAGGAACCTCCATTCTGCTTTCCATAGTAGTTGTACTGATTTACATTCCCACTAATAGTGTATGAGGGTTCTTTTTTCCCACATCTTCTCCAGTATTTGTTGCTTATATTCTTGATGATAGCCATTCTGACTAAAGTGAAGTGAAATCTTACTGTACTTTGATTTGCATTTCTTTTATGGCCAGGGATGTTAATCATGTATTTATTGGCCATTTATATTTCTTTCTTTGAAAAATGTCTGTTCAGCTCATTTGCCCATTTCTTCATTGGGTTATTGATTCTTTGGGAATTTAGTTTTTGAGCTCCCACTCAGTAAATTTTGATTATTAATCCCTTATCAGATGTATTTGTGGGAAAGATTTTCTCACATTCTTTGGGCTGTCTCTAGTCTAGTGACTGTTTCCTTTGCTGTGGAGAAGCTTTTTAGTTTGATGTAGTCCCAATTGTCAGTCCTTTCTCATAATTGCTGAGCTATTGGAATTCTATTCAGGAAATTATTGCCTATGCCTATCTGTTCCAATGTATTCTCTACTCTTTCCTCCAATGATTTCAAAGTTCCAGGCCTTACATTAAGATCCTCGATCCACTTTGAATTGGTATTAGTCCAGGGTGAAAGGGATGTGGTTTCAATCTTTTCTACATGTAGATATCCAGTTTTCTCAGCACCTTTGTTGAAGAGGCTGTCTTTTCTCCAAGGTATATTTTAAGCTCTTTTATCAAAAATCAGATGGCTGTAACTGTGGATTTTCTGTCTGGGTCTTCAGTTTTGTTCCATTGGTCTTTCTGTCTGTTTTTGTGCCAGTACCATGCTGTTTTCATTACTATGGTTCTATAGTATAGTTTGAAGTCAGGTATTGTAATATCTCCAGCACTATTCCTTTGCTCAGAATTGCTTTGGCTATTCATGGTCTTTTGTGCTTCCATAAATCTATATCTGTGAAGAATGGCATTGGAATTTTAATGGGGATTGCATTTGAACATATAGATTGCTTTTGGTAGTACAGCCATTTTAACAATATTGATTTTGCCAATCTTTTGGCATGGAAGACCTTTCTGTCTTCTGATGTCTTCAGTTTCTTTATTCAGTGATTTATAGTTTTTGTTGTAGAGGTCTTTTGCTCCTTGTTTTGGGATAAAGACCCAGATACTGAGCTCTAGCAAGCTAGCCTGCTGGCTTCCTGCCTCTCCTTTGGGTAGGAACACTGAACTGAGTGGCTTTAGCCCACTCCCATCAGTCCAATCTGGGAGCCTTCAATCAGTCCACTTAGCCAAAGTTTTCTTAAGGGAGGAGGGTCAGATTCAACCAGCTTAGTCACCAGATCTCTCAGGGGTCAGAAGGATTAACTCCCTCAAGCTGAGCTGGCCTGTGTAATAATAGCCTGCTGGCTCTCTACCTCTCCTTTGGATAGAGATGCTATGCTGAGTGTCTTCAGCCTATCTCTGCCAGGCACTCTGGGAACCTTCAATCAATCCACTTAGCCAAACATTTTTCTCAGGGGATCAGATTTAGCCTGCTTAGCCATCAGATTTCTTGGGGGTCAGATGGATTAGTTCCCACAAACTGAGCTGGTCCGTGCAGTAACCTACTGGCTTTCCACCCCTTCTTTGGGTAGAGACACTAGGCTGAATGGCTTTTGCCCAATACTCTGACCCTCTCCAAACTTACCACCACCAGCTTGTTCTGGGGGCTGTCAGTCCACTTAGCTAAAGGTTTCCTCGGGATCAGAGTCAGCTGCTTAGCTGCAAGAATTTTGGGGTATGGACAGATTAGCTCCAGCAAGCTGAGCTGGCCTGTGGTTGCCCAGGACTGAATGTGGCTAGCTTACCTGATTTGTTTTGCAGGCTAGTCTATCTGGTATTGGAGGGGGTGCAGGTTGGTAATCAGCTAATATCCCATGGCTTGAGCAAGGCACTTAGCCCTCTGTGTTGTTTTGCACGAAGGGTACCCTTGTGAGCAGAAAGAAACTTAGGTCCAGACAGAAGGAAAAAAAAAAAAGACCCAACAAAACTCAAGCAGAGCCATGGGATGGAGCAGGTCTGGGTTTGCACCCATACACCCATGGTGGAGTTGCACTTTTTGAGCTTAATTAGAAGTCAGTAACACTAGCTATGGCCTATCCTTATGCTAGCACTCTCTCTCTCTCCTCTCTTTTTTAGCATACTAACTTGCCCACCTACCCTACAGCCATGAACCTGAGGTTTTCTTTCAAATTCATGGAGACTTGGGGAAGTGGTGCCTGTTGGCAACCTGTTATCATGACTCTCCCTGAAATTCAGTTGTTTTCATTTTTAGGGGATGATCAACAAATGAAAATTTGTTCATTTTAAAATGATATCTATTGGGATATAGTCCATACTTTTGCTAGATGAGTCATCTGCCTAGGTTCTAGTGATCAGTAGTGGTGTTGGTCAATCCAAGGAAACAGTAGTAAAGTCTTTGAAGGGTATTCATGTGATCACATATTTAGGAAAAGTCACATCTAAACACAGAGCACTTTGTTAGGAATCAGTAAGATTTGTTGGGGCAAAAGGTTTAGAGGCCTAACCATATGTCAGACTTCCAGATGGTCATTCTACTTGAGCAAATACCTTTGCAGAGGAAATGAAGAATTTTCCAGGGTAACAATAATCTTGTATATAAATATATAATGCATATACCTGAACTCCTAGGAGTTTTAGGTATAGTTGTTATATCTAATAAACCTATTCACAGAATAGATTGTTTTAGCTATAATCAGAACAAGAGTTGTCAGTTATTCAGTCATTACTCATTAATATGTATCCTGTATTCAGTAGTTTGAATTTTATTCTAATTGGTGATGAAAAGCCTCTGGCAGATTTTTAGCAGGTTATTGATAAGATCTAGTTTACACTTGGAATTTACTCTGGCTGATGTGAGAAAGTTAGCCTGTTGGGAGGCAAGGAATGGAAGCAGGGAGACACACAGGATTTTTCAGGATCCAGCAAAGAAGTCATGATAGTTTGTACAGCAGTGACATGGTAAGATACAGAAATGAGTTTGAGATATATGTCAGAGGTGGAGGAAACAGGACAATTAATATTTGGATGTTAGATTGAGAGTAAAAAGAAAAATTGGATATGACTTATAGTTTTTTGGCCTAATAACTAGGTAAGTGGTAATAACTGATAGAAATGGTAAGATTGAT